AAAAATAGAGATTGAACTAATACACCATGTTACTCTGAAAGGAATGATTTCTGTTTGTAAATTTCTTGTTCCTAAGGAACCAATCATGGGGTAGATCTTGTGAAATTTTACATTAATTCTTCAATTTCCTGAACTTGAGATGAGACCACCTCACCATTCACCATCTCCTGCACAACTGTCTTGATTTTTCGGGTTTTGGTCGGGTCTAAAGATAAAAATGGAATAAGGGGGCAAAAGTTAGTGTTTCAAATATTAATCCAGCATTAGTTGTTTAATGCAGGTTTCTAAATTAAGCATTGGTTGATACAATCCATATAATTAAACTTTCAAAAGTAAATTTTACTTCTTAAAAATGTGTTTTATCCAATGAAAATGAAATGTATTCAGTGTTGCCTTGTACACATATGAAAACATTTTTTTAGGAAAACATTTCAAAGTTGGTTATGGTGATCATAATACCTTGTAGCAGAGTAGGTTTTTTTCCCTCCTGGGATTGCCAATTTTTTAATTTTTATTTTAATTTTCTTAGAGACAGGGTCTGGCTCTGTTGCCCAGGTTGGAATGCAGTGGCATGATCATAGCTCACTATAACCTCTAACTCCTGAGCTCAAGGGGTCCTCCTGCCTCAGCCTCCAGAGTAGCCGAGATCACAGGCATACACCACCATGCCCAGCTATTTTTTTCTTAAGTTTTTTGTAGAGATGGGGTCTCACTGTTGCCCAGGTGGGTCACGAACTCCTGGCCTCAAGTGATCCTCCCACCTTAGTTTCCCAAAGCTATGAGATTACAGGCATGAGCCACCATGCCCCCAAAAGTTTTAATACAGTACAGACTACTCGTTTTGTGCAGGAATGCATAAATGTTTTTCCTTGGCTCAGAATATAAATATGCTTTAAATTAAAATTAATAATAATGCAATATTCAATGAGATCTTACAGGTTTTGCATTAATAAATGTGATTCTGACTTATTCTAAGTGATTCTAGGGTTTCTGCATACCTTTAGAGGAATCAGTTGACTGTGCTTGTGATTTGGAGTCTGTCACAAATAAACTTTCCTCCAAACCATCACTGTAAGAAAACAAAGGAGATGACCTCAAAAAGTGAAGCAACCTGGCTTTTAATGGAAGAGCTGGTCTCAGAAATTCGATTTCCCAATTTGTAGGCCTGAGTTCTTCCAACTAGTGCAGCCTCTGATCACTTCTGGAAAGCTTGTTAGAGTAGGTGGTTCAGGAGGCTACTAGGTGTCCTTCTTATCATCAGGTCTTTGATATCAGAAATTGAGTGACTTTTGTAGTATAGGGAATACTGATTTACAAACTGTTTCTGACAGTAGTGCCTTTGTTCATTGTAGCATTTTATGAATTACCAAGTAAGATAATGGGTGAAAACACTTTGCAAAGTGTAGAGCATTTAGTAAATCCCAGGCATATCTTTACTAGACTTTGTTTGTTTGCTTTTCTGTCAACTAAAACCCCATTCCTTCTATTTCTGCTGTCCACTCTTGGTCAACCCCTAAAGCTGTTTGCAGCCTTCGTTGTCTACTCACCCTTGGGCCTCCCCGTCCAGCAGGCGGCGGTAGGTCTCAATCTCCAGCTCCAGACGGGCCTTGACATTCAGCAGCCGCTGGTGGTCCACGTTCTGGCGCTCTGCATCCGCGCGCACCTGCAGCAGCTGTGCCTCCAGGTTGCTGATGAGCTGCTGCACCTGGGACAGCTGCGCGCAGTAATCGCCCTCGGCTTCGGCCAACGAGTCTTCCAGAGATTTCTTCTGCACGCGGGAGGGAAATGGTATAGAAATAACGATGGAGGGGACCGAAAAGAGGAGGGCAGTTAACGGCTAATGTAATTTGGATGCAGCATTTTCTTTAGAAGTCCAAAGGATGCTGCGTCTGTTTGCGCACGAGCCTACCGTGGCGAGCTGGGACTGCAGCTCGATCTCCAGGTTCTGAACGGCGCGTCGCAGGTCGGTGACCTCGCTCTTGCTGGACTGAAGCTGCTCGGTGTTGGTGCTAATCTCCTTCCGGAGCTCCCCGCTCTGCAACAGCAAAGACAGCCAGGGGACTCGAGCGCTGAGCTCGCTTGCAGGCCTTTCTGCGAATGTATCAAAGCCTTTGTTGTTTGTGTTACCTTTTCAATGAACCAGGCTTCAGCGTCCTTCCGATTCTGCTCAGCGATGGTTTCATACTGCGCCCGCATATCGTTGAGGAGCCTGGTGAGGTCCACTCCGGGGGCAGCGTCCATTTCTACGCTGACCTCACCTGGGCCGCCCACCCGGAAGCTTTGGAGTTCCTGGGGACAGCACGTGAGAGAGAGGGGCACAGGGGTCCATTGTGACTTTCGTGGGCCCTGGATACTTTTATCCTCCTGGGCCCCTTCCTACACACACACACACACACACACACACGCACTTAAAAATTCTATTTTATGACTGTTGGTATAAATATTAATGTAATATTTTAAAACTTTTTTAACCTAAAAATTCATATTTTTCTTCTGATTTTACAGGAACTTAAGACATATTAATGGGTCCCTGAGATTACCTCAGACCCTGGGAGCAGTGCCTGCTGTTCCTAATGGGTAAGTTGGCTCTGCTTCTTGAGGGGCCATGGCCTTTACATGAAAGGAGGCCTGGTGTACACTCACTGGGGTTTTCACCTACAGCTGCCAAACAGAGGGCTGCAGCAGTACCTGGGCTTGCACACTGTTTGTGCCACAATCATTGAAAATCTAGTAGAAACTTCCTATTGCCAGCGTCCCTTCCTTGCCTACCCTCCAATATGCACCGTGACATGTCTCAGAGTTTTCTGTGTGTTATGCTAAGTATAACCAGTTTCTCTAACCCATATAACATTATATATTATTGGTAGACTTTTGTTCCTTAACTTTTAAAATACTCAGCTTTTTTTTTTCTTTTAAATCACTGAATTAGGACAGTTAGCATTCCTATTGTCATTGCTTTATAATGGAAATGACAAAATCAGAAAGTACCTCTAATCTGTTAAGCCTTAACAGGATCCACCATCACCACCACCACCACACACACATCATGCACACCACATGCACATCACATACACCACACACACATCCCACAGAAATCCAAAACAAATGGCCATTTTAACAGGGAGACAATGTATTCTCCATACTTGTTCCGACTCCAGATTTCTAAATTTGAAATTGTAATTTTTGGGTCTGGGAGAAAAAAAAAAGTAGCTGAGTGAGGCCGCCCTGTCTGACTCACTTCCTCATGGTTCTTCTTCATGTAGGCCAGCTCCTCATTCAGGCTCTCGATCT